CACATGTGGAGCTGCGGCGGCAGCAGCAGCACAGGGTAATGGCTGGTGGCAGCACTGCCTGCACACAGGCTTCTTCCCCCATCTTTCCACATCCAGCCAGCTGGCTGGACATTCCAGTTAGTAGAGTGCAGGTTATTAAAATGCTGGTTAACAGAGCTTTTACCTAGTATACTGGAAAAGTGCCTCTAGCCTGACAGCAAAAACAGCTTCCTTGCTTACTAAGAATTTTAGTTTATGTTTGTTGTATGGTTCCTAGATTAATTTAATATAATAGTCTTCTTAATCCTCATCAGATAGTAGTTAAAATTACATAACCAAGTCAAGCAATTTGGAAGTGTCATGGAAGGTGCTGCAGATGCTGAATGGAAGATGCAGATGCCAGCTCCCCTGCAGTAATGTCTATTGCATATACAAAAGGGCCTGTACTTTAAATGCTGCTAATTTACTTAGCAGACACATAGTTCTACATCAGCAGTATCTCTCCTTCAAATTTCATTAGAAGTAAAGCAATTAATTCATTTTAGTAAATGAAATTAAAATTTTAACTAGTTAACAAGTTCTTAGAGCCACAATACTTACGATCAGTGTGCATCAGGGCCTGAATTTCTTCAATAGAAAAGAAGGAAATCAAATCAAATATATTTTGTGATCTTTTACCGCATTAATACAGCAGTACTCAGCCCCCGGTACATTGGTAAGATCCAAGCTGCAGAGGTATGTCATCCAGCCCATGGGGGTCCTCACAGGTCTGGAAATCTGGTGGTGGGGGAGCGGTGGAAGCAACTGAGCTCTTATACGCCTCTAGGTCAGTCGGGGTGCCCGATAGTTCACTGTGACCCTGGCCTGCCTCTCACACTGGGCTTAATTGCCCTTTGGCCTTCAGGCCCTGACCCTCTTGCACTGACCAGTGCGAGGGATCATAAAGTCAGCTTGGCAACTGCTGACCCCCATACTCCCAAGGGGTCCCTCCTGGGCCCCACCATACAGCCCTCACTCTAACCTGTGTTGGCCTAACACCCCCAACAATGCTGCCTGAGGCCTAGCTCAACTGGGCTCACCTGAGCCCCTGGCTTCACCCCTGCCAGATCCACTCAGGGGCTTGCCTGGCCCCTTTGTAGGCATACAAGCTGTTAGTCCCATGCCTAGGCTTGGCTTTGCTCTTACTAGGTCCTAGCCTTCTTCCCAGTGCTCAGGACCCCACTGGGCCCCCTAGGAACCTCCAGCCTTCCCCATAGTTCCTCCCTTACCTCCAATGTGTTCTGTGAGCAGCAGCTCAGCCGGGCGTTGTTGTTATGGCTGCCAGCAGCAGACTGCTCCCTCAGCCCTGAGGGCCTGGATCTAAAATGGCTACCTCCTCTGTGTATACTCCTCTGGAGTATACCTCCTCTGCTTGCGCTTGTAGGGAGGCAGTTAGACAGGCCAATGCTACCATGGAGCTGAGGATCGCATCCCAAGTTAAGGATAACAAAAAATTGTTTTTTAGATATATAGGGAGTAAAAGGAAGGCCCAGGGAGGAATAGGACCCCTACTAAATGGGCAGAAGCAATTGGTGACGGACAGGGGGGACAAGGCTGAACTCCTCAACGAGTTCTTTGCCTCTGTTCCTAAGCAAGGGGCAGGACAAGGCTCTCACTGGGATTGTAGACAGGCAGCAGCAAGGCACCAGACTGCCATGCGT